TTATTACACAGCAATGAACAATATTTGTAGCTTGAATAAATAGTTTTAGTCTGTTATGGAGGAGCTACATCTATACCAGACTGAATGACTTTTATTTTAAAATATTGCCAGATTATCGTCAAATAAAGAAAGTAAATGGAATTTTTTTTTTTTTTGAGTGAAGTAATTTTTTTCAGCACAGAGAATTTCTCACGATATTACAATTACATAATAATAATTATTCATTCATTCATTTCATAACACTATGAATGTGTAAAATCACGTACGGTATTACTCATTGCATGTCGTAAAATGCGTTTTTAAAAACGGTAATTAATTAGTGTCACTAATTCCCCGATCTATACCAGGTGTTTATTTGAATCATTTGTTTAATTTTATGTTGCCAAATATAAAACGTATCTAGTATTTTGGTTCGTTTGTTTTATGTTTTAAATTACAATGACAAACACAAACTAGTACTAAATGAAACAGACATCCCATAGTGCTGGAAGCAAAGAGTGCAAAAAAAAACTTTCCAAAAACATACAAACAGTATGTTTGTATGAAAATTATGAAAATTAAAATTATGAAAAATTAAAATTAAAATTATGAAAATTAAAATTATGGAAAGTGAAAGTCAATTATAATTGCGAGGAAAACGTATTGACGTAATTGAACCCACGCATGATGCTATTTTACTTGAGCAGAGTTAGTTGTACAATAGATTTTGCGGTGCTTTGTAGACTACATTCACATAAAAAAAAACAACAATCATTATTCTTCTTCTGCCATTTTCCCCCCCACTTGGGCACACCTCTCTTCTGCACCTCGCGTGGCTTGAAAATGGCGGCTGTTGTCTAACTGTGTTTTTGTTTTGTTTGAGTTGTGCTTAACTTTAGTTCAGCAAAATAGTTTCTTATGGTATTAAGAAAACATTACAATGGATTTCAGTGAAATATTTTCTTATGGTATTTAAGAAAACGTTACAATCGGTAAACCGTAGTGCTCAATATAGATTAATGAATTAATATAAATTAATTGTGATATCAATGGGTATGGGTATCAACCAGAGGTGGGACCAAGTCATTGCTTTGCAAGTCACAAGTAAGTCTCAAGTCTTTGCACTCAAGTCCGAGTCAAGTCTCAAGTCAAGACAGGCAGAGTCCGAGTCGAGTCCAAGTCAAGACTGAAAAGTGTCAAGTCAAGTCCCAAGTCCTGCCGTTTCTGTTTTGAGTCCTTTCTAGTCCTTTTCAAACAAAATAATATATTTACACAGATCACTTTGGGTTTTGGAGAAAGTATCGAGTCTTGTCGAGTCAAAGGGCTCGAGTCCAAGTGAAGTCACGAGTCACTGATGTTAAAGTCCAAGTCGAGTGGCAAGTCTCTTTGCATTTTGTCAAGTCGAGTCTAAAGTCATCAAATTGATGACCCGAGTCCAAGTCACGTGACTCGAGTCCACACCTCTGGTATCAACTATTCAAAGCATTACATTTTCTTATCTAAATGTTTTTTTTTATGGTCAGTGTGGCTTTTGTTGAAAAACAGAAAATGAAATAGAAAGTTAGGGGACAGCAAATGAGCTCCCAATAGACATCTTGACTGATATGTGTCATCAGGACACTTGGCAGGCCTCACTTTTTGCTCTCACCACAGGCTCTACACAGCGAGTGTGTAATGAATCTTTTTAGCTCTCCTTGTGTTACTTGACCCACTGATTGCAAACAGCAGGTCACTTCAGGTAAGTGATTAAGGGCATTGTGTAGCCCCCAGGTGTCCTTTACAAAGACTCTGAAGTGGGGCTCAAATTCTCATTAACAGGCCTCAATAGGTTTAAGGCCTATTGAAGTTGGGCCACCTGCTTCCATGCTACAATGCAGAACGTAATGGCTTTTTATAAAGACAACCCTTAGTTAAAAATAGCTTACACTGAAATTGCTCAAGCAGAAAGTAAAATCTGAACATAGGGTTGGGCAATAACGTAACTGCAAATGACATACAACAAATAGAATAGATATAGAAAAAAAAAAGAAGCAAAGATTCAACAACCATTAATGGAAATGTTAAGCAATTCAGAAGAACACCGTACGAGTATGGTGTTAAATTCCAAATCCAAATCCCATTGCTACAGTATTATATAAAAGAATACATTACGTTTTAGGTATGGCGGTATATGGCCAGTAGGAGGCAGTAACATTCTACACCAGATAAAAGGATGCTAGTTTTTGTCAGGATAAAGAAGTGAAGGGGAGATGCAGGTGAAGCGGCAGTACCGTTTTGCCTCACCTCGTCTTTTTACTGCGGTTTTACGGAAATTCGGTGATACTGATAATTTGTGTTCATTAAGGAAATTCAGTGATACTGATAATTTGTGTTCATTAAGGATACTGGACAGACTCCAAAAGGTCAGAGGCATATTATAAATGTCTGCGAAGATTGTATTTAAATATGAAAGGGGGAAATTCAGTAACTCGGTCATTATTGGGAACCTGTCAGAAAACACCGAGATATACCAAAATATACCAATACTTCCTCCGACTGATCCTGACCTTCACCCAGAGTACCACTCCAAGTACAAAAAGCTACACGTAGCTGCTATTTAAGGGTTAGCATCAAATGACCATTAGCTGCATTCTTTCAATACAAACTGAAAGCGGGTTGTCATCTGTAAAGACACAAAAGGGAAAACAAAATTCACTGTTATGTTTTACATTGAAACACGCTGAGAAATTTGGTGTTTACCTTTACTTTTGTGACTCGAAATTGATTGTTTACTGCAACAAAATTCGCCTTAATCAAACTCCATCTATCAGTGGGCTTCATAAGATAAATGCACATAGGATAAATGTTTTTTTAAAGAATTCATACCTGACTAAGCAGCCATAAAAATATTCAAACTGGTAAATATTAGACAGGTATGAGCAACACCATTATAAACTCCAATAACAGTTCATCCGAGCAAGCAAAGACATGCTGTTTGCTTAAAGAGTCCGGCATTATGAAAGCAGACACCGTTCAGTTGTCGAGAGTGAACAAGGTAACGCCCCCCACTTTTTGCAGCATCACGCATATGCTAGTGCCCGTGAACCAGTTACTCATTAAATAAAGACCTGCCTTTTAGTTAAACTAAAATGAAGGTTGTTGATTATTGATATTTCACGTGGAGAAACTGTTCACCAGCAAGACAAATATAGCTGCTGGCATTAGTTAGAGATGGTTATAAGGCTGTTTCCCTGGAACAAGGAGTTACACCCAGTCCACTTCTCAGCACAGTTTAACCAAATGCTGAAAGTCATGCTATCCCTGTTTGTAGTGTGACTTTCAGAATTGTTACAAATTCATAGGAAAATGACTGTCACTTACCATATCGTAATAACTATTTAGCTTAACCAGGGTTGTCAAACATACGACTCACAGGCCAAAACTTGCAAACACCTGCTTGATGAATTTTGAAAATTTTGAAAAAAAAAAAAACACTTCATGTTCAAAATTATATTTAATTAAATATGAATAAATAATAATAAATATCTAATATACAGTGGGGCTTCAAGGTACGCGTTTAATCTGTTCCACAACAGCACTTGTCGAATGTTGATCTGCTCGTATCGCGTTTGCATTTTCACCATTAAAAATAACTAATAAAACCAATTCATTTGTTCTAGACCCCCATGTACTATTAGTGACTTAAAGTAACCGCCCATCTAAACATCAAAAACATAATAATAATTAAGAAAACATTTTATATTATTGTTGTAAAAATGGGTAAAATAACCCAGCGAGGGACAGTGAGCGAGACAGGGCGACAGAGTGTCGGGTTCACTAAGTGTAGGAGAAGGACTGGGAGTGAGGACAAGATTTAAATGACAGAAGGAGAGAGAGAGAGAGAGAGAGAGAGAGAGAGAGTAAGAGAGAGAGAGAGAAATAAAGGGACAGGTAAAATAACCCAGTGAAGGACAGTGAGCAAGACAGCATGACATTGTCGGGCCACTAAGAGTAGGAGAAGGACTGGGAGTGAGGACTTGATTTAGATGATAGAAAGAGAGAAAGAGAGAAAGAGAGAAAGAGAGAAAGACAAAAAGAAAGAAAGAAAGAAAGAAAGAGAGAGAGAGAGAGAGAAAGAAAGAAAGAGAGAAAGAAAAAAAGAGAGAAAGAGAAAGAAAGAAAGAAAGAGAGAGAGAGAGAAAGAAAGAAAGAGAGAAAGA